TGTTACAAATTTATTTTACAATCGTTGCTTGTACATTTGCAAATAACCTATAGAGCTGTGTCCTCAAAGTGTCATTAAGTGGGCTTTCTACTGCAGTATCACTTAGTCATTCTGTTTATACTGTAAGTGCTTATTTAGCGTTCTCCATGTTCCAGCCCTCATGCGTGACAACGGAGATACAAAGACAATGAACCAACCCTCACGGAGTCCATGAAAGGAAGGAGTCTAGTGTAGTAAAGACAGCCCCACGATGTGACACATGCAGTCATAGAGATGTCTGGGGGTGTACAAGGGTGTTCACAGGAGGGGCCGATCTAAAAGTAGCTTGTCTTTTTTCCAAGATGAGGAAGAATACCACGCCCACCCTTCCAGATAGCATGATCACATGGTTCAGAGAACTGTGAGAATGTCCATTAGGTGATTCCTCATAATGGGAAACAACTTCAGCAAACAGTTTCCAACTGATGAAATATTAAAATTCATTATGTTGAATTTTCTAATGGCCTATTAGTATCTACCTGCAAATGAGAAGGGTGGGAGTGATGCTCTTTTTGGAAGATGGCATGACATGTATTGTGCATCGGTATCATTAATGCACAAATGCTGGCTACTAATATAAATGAGATTTGCTTTCTGGTCTCCAGGAGATTACAGTGGAGTATGGAAGAAAAGGACCCTTACATATATCTCTCACATTGATAATATTGACAAACACAGAAAAAGAGTAGAGAAGGGGGAGATCTCAGAGTGGCTCTGAGTAGATCAAGTTTCTTCAAATACCTGGAATTTGAACAGATGACTCCAACTTACCAAGCAAGTAACCTATTAGCAGTCCAATCATGTCCTTGAGGAGGCAAGGGAAAAACTGGATCAGGATAGATGGAAATGGCAGAAGAAATTGATTATATAGTCACTTCTCTGCCATCTGGAGTGAAAAGTACACATGAATACATTACTACCGTGTTAAGAAAACATGAAAGAAATAAAAGAAATGTCATCCTTTAATGACCTTATATTGATTGTACTCTATTATTTGTTGGAGAGCCCCACAATGAAAACTTACATTGCTTGATATTCCTATCTAGACCCCAAAATAGAACTATTTGCAGGGATTACTTATAGTAATTACTAACATTGCTAGATGGAAAATAAAGGCTCCAGAGTAACAAGTACTGATAATGAGGTGGACTGGGAGATGAGATGGGAGATGGCGAAATTTGAGTGAAAATGGGATAGATGCCAAGGAACACCTCAGGGTGGAATTATGTAAACAGCCCGGGTCTCTAGGGTTCTTGAAGTCCTGGTACAGGAAATCACTGGGTGGTCCAGCATCGTGATGGGTTTCCTTGGCCACCAACTTTCACTCCATTTCCTCTGTAGACATTTCACAAACTGAGGACAAACAAGGTCCTCTGGCATATTTCAAAGTCAGAAAGGCTCTTGTCCAAAATAAAATAAAAGCATGGAGGGACTGCGGGGATAGATACCAAGAAATTTCTTATTTCTAGTTACACTCTTCAGCCAATGTTCCCAATACTGTTTCTACTTTGGGGTGCTACATGTAGGGAGTCATGCTGATTCCTTAAGGATAAAGCAAGAGACAGAAGCCTTCCTCTGAAAACTGGGTGCTGGCAGCCTCAAAAGTGGGCGTTCTCAAAGGGATCAACCAGACCATTCTCCCTTCTGATCCATCTCTTCCTATCCTGCCCTTTATTTCAAACATTCAAATCTGCTGTCACGGGTAGAATTTTGCCTCTTGCATTCATTTAAGGGGTCAAATGACATGTAGGCATTTCATCCCAGAGTGAAACTGCTAAAAATCCAGGTCTCATTGTTTCATTTGCTTTTTAAAGTTATTTGTTTTTATCATCCCAAGTAGAAACTGTTGACACATATTGGAATTTTTGAAGAGCACTTCATGATAGAAGTATTTACAAAGATGGGCAGGTTAAGGAAAAGTGACAAGTGCATGGGAAACAGGGAAAGAACAAGGGAAGGAACACTGAAGAGACAGGGCAGTTGCAGAGGTGGGAGAGAATGAGCATAAAATGGACAGGCACTGTCTCTGCCAACACAGAGACTCAGACAGAAAGCCAGGAGATGTAAAACCCAAGTTCCTTTCCTCCTGTCCTCTACTCTCCTGGGTGGTATCTCCCTGTGACCCTATTCAACCAGAAACTTGGAAGAAAATATACCACTCATAAGGGCCACAGAAACCACCCCTCTTGATATGCCAAACCAGAGAAGGACAAAAGGAAAATTCTTTTGGCAAATGACACTATCCCTCAAATCTCCTTCTATCTTTCTACTTCCTGGAATTTTCTCTACCTAATTGTCACTGTTTGTTTTTCATAGTTGAAAATTAAAAGACCACAATAGCAGTTACTTACAGAGAGGTAAACAAGAGAAAGTGGGAGGGGAGAGGCTGAACATGAGTGGCAATTAGGAAGATGTCCAGAAACACTTCTCTGAGGGTCACATCATAAACTGCTCTGGTTTCTTGTTTGCCCACAATCCTTTGCAGAAAAATCAAAGGAGGGGCTGTCCAGCATCTTGCTAAGCTTTTTTTATTCACCACCTTTTATTCCAGCTCCTACAAGCATCTCCTGATTTAGAAGACAGAGAAGGTTTCTGTGGTATCACTTCATCCCAGAAAGGCTCTCTCTCCTCTTCAGCACAGATCAGCTCTCCTCCTGTGGACAGAGAATGGAAGAAAGGTAGGGGTATATTCTAAACACTTTCCTGTCTCCAGTGATTGCTAATATGTTTGTTCTGAGTTCATATCTCTATGTTTCTATCTTGTGATGCTTCATGCAGGGGGTTATGGGCTTCCCTCAGGGAAAGGCAGAAGAGATGATGCCTCTTTGTAAAAACTGGTGCTGCCATCCTTGACTGTGTGTGTTCTCAGAGGGCTTCTCTAGATCATTTTCCCTTCTGACCCATCTCCCCGCATTCTCCCCTTACTCTGAACATTCAAATCTATTATCACAGGGAGAATCCTGCTGCTTACATTCATTTGAGGACCACAGTAATATGCAGGCATTCCATCCCAGAGCTGAGCTACAGTAAACCCAGGTTTTATTTTATTTATTTTTCAGGGGATGGAGGGTACTGGTGAGTGAACTCAGGGACACTTGACCACTGAGCCACATACACAGCCCTATTTTGTATTTTATTTAGAGACGGGGTCTCACTGAGTTGCTTAGCACCTTGCTTTTGCTGAGACTGGCTTTGAACTCACAATCCTCCTGGCTCAGCCTCCAGAGCCAGTGGAATTACAGGCTTATGCCCGGATACCTATCTGCCAGGTTGTCATTGTGTTGCTTCCTTTTCAGCATTGTTCTTTGCATATTTAAGAAGAAAAAAGGCAACACCAAAATCAAGTAATTGAGTATTTCTTTAGTTAACTCGCTACCTTATAAACTCTCCATCATCTATTATTATTCACCCAGGTGTGAGCTAGTTTAATTTCTCTATTTAAAATATATGCAAGCATCTCTTTCCATTCCTACCTTTTTCTTCTCTTCATAGACTAACCTCACACAAATCTTCTACCTGTAAAGCAAACTCTATTGGGAGAGAAAATGGAAAAGATTTATATTATATACTTTATAGCACATCACTTAATAGCTTTTCTTTAGATATTTTCATACTTCAAAAACCTTTTACTAGGGGCTGAAGTTGTGGTTTGGTGGTAGAGCCCATGCCTAGCATGTGTGAGGCACTAGATTCTATTCTCAGCACCACATATAAATAAATAAATAAATAAAGGTCCATCAATATCTTTAAAAAAATAAAAAACAAATGAACAACAAAATAAACCCTTTTATTAGCACTCAGACTTTATCCCCTTTTATTCTTCTGTCCTACAAATTGCTGGGCAACTCAGCTCAAACTCACGTCCTAACCCCATACTCTGCACCAAAAGGTTACAAAGTACTCAGCAAGCCATTTGGGTGTGTGTGTGTGTGTGTGTGTGTGTGTGTGTTGCTGGGGTTTAAACCCAGAGGCAAGCACTCTGCCAACTGAGTTATAGCCCCAGCCCCAAACCATTTTTGTTCCTTGCTTTTATGGCCCATCAGTGGTCCATTTCAGTTATTTGGATAAACATAAGTAAATATTCTAAACACTCTCAGTTATCCACAAAAAGAATAATGATAGATAAAATTTTCTTCATCTATTTTTACCTGAATGTTTTAATTCCTTTAATTGTATTTATTTTTATTTTTCCATTTAACCCAAGTCTTCTGCTACCATTAGTCTCCTTATTCATGCATCCATTCCCTGAATAACCATTGAGAATACAGTGTGTAGCACCAAATCTAGACAAGGGGATATGCATAGTGTGGCTGTCCTCTGTGGCTGACACACTGAGCCATTTCTATGACACACTTAGCCATTAATAGCCTACCAGTCCCAACCATCCTCACACATGCCTAACCAAGAGGTCACATTCTTTTTACGTCCCCAAAGCAACCTACATACAGCACTTTTAGTCATGAGTGTGGTCTGGATCAACTTTGCCTCTTTAATCTGAACCTGAGGGAAAAATTCTGGCCCAGGACAGGCTAATGCCTTTGACCACAGTCCTTTCCTGGTATCTCAGATCCTATCCCAGACTTTTCCTTCCTCAAGAAATTCTGGAGACTTGGCATAAACTCTGGCAGGAACAGGAGGGGGTCCATGTGCATGATTGGACCATAGAATATTCCTGTCAGTAGATGAACCCGTGCAGTAGCAGCCAGCACAGCGTTTACAGTCGACAGGAACTGGGTTTGAGTCCAGGACCCCAGACCCCCTGGGCTTTTTTTAAATAATTTTTACAAGCATCTGTGTCCTCCCCTGTGACACAGGGACAGTAATTCCCACACAGCAGGGTGGTCCTGGGACTCAGAGGTTATGCAGCAGGAACTCATGACTTTCTTTTTGTTCTTAGCAGCTCCAGTGGAGGGGTTCTGAGCATAAGTCCAACCACCCCAGCCGAGGGGACAGAATTCACAATGGTGACCAGAAGTAACTGGAATAATCCTCAACCTGTCAACTTTTGGACCTCGATCCAGGGCTTGCCAACCCTCATCATTGCCCTGATTGGGCTGGTGGGAAATGCAGTTGTGCTCTGGCTTCTGGGCTTCCGCATGCACAGGAACGCCCTGTCAGTCTACATCCTCAACCTGGCGGGAGCCGACTTCCTTTTTCTCTGTTTTCATGTTATGGTTTCTCTGAACAAACTCAACCTCACTTTCCTTTCCTTTCTCGCCTTCATCCTCAAGTACTTACCCATTGTAATGATCTGTTCCTACCTTACAGGCCTGAGCGTGTTGAGCGCCATTAGTGCTGAGCGCTGCCTGTCCATCCTGTGTCCCATCTGGTACCGCTGCCACCGCCCGATTCACACCTCAGCTGTTATATGTGCCATACTCTGGGCCCTGTCCCTGCTACTGAGCATCCTGGATGTGTACCACTGTACCTTCCTATCTACAAATTTCAACTATTGGTGTCAGACATTTAGTTTCATCACGGCTGCATGGCTGATAATTTTATTTATGGTTCTCTCTATATCTAGCCTCACCCTGCTCATCAAGGTCATCTGTGGCTCTCGGAGAGTACCGCTGACCAGGCTGTATGTGACTATTGGGCTTACAGTTCTGGTCTTCCTCTTCTGTGGCCTGCCTGTAGGCATCATGAATTCTCTGTTGTCCTGGATTCATAAAAACAATATGAGTCTGCATTTTTTAAACATTACTTTATTTCTGTCTAGTATTAACAGCAGCGCCAATCCCATCATTTACTTGTTTGTTGGCTCCTGTAGGCGGGGACAGCACCGTCGGCGGCAGCGACCATCGCTCAAGTTGGTTCTGGAGAAGGCCTTCCAGGACATACCTGAGGTGGAGAAAAGTGGAGAAAGTCTTCCTCAGGAAACTATGGAGAGTATAACATCCTCCTAATGTAGTGATTCTTCATCTTCAGGGGATCCTTTAAATAAGTAGTACCTCTGGAAGATACATAGATGATTGTATAGAGTCCAAAATTGACATTGATATAGATGTATGGAGAGAGAGAGAGAGAGAGAGAGAGAGAGAGAGAGAGAGAGATGCCATTTATTGATGTGTTATCTGTGGCTGCTTTCACATAACAACAGCAGAGACAAATAGTTGTAACAGAAATCAAATGGCTTCAAAACTAAAATATTCATTAACTTGTTCTTGCTGGTGTGTATGTGTGACCTTATCATAATCATAAGTTCTACTTACTCTGTGTAAAGCTTTTTTCTGTTGATCTCAGGCTAATACTGAAGTCTACAAGAAAAGCTAGAACCAAGAAACCTGAGTCAAGACCTATAAGAACCAACTAGAACCCCTATCAATCTCTTTCAGTACCTGTGAGCTTGATGATATTAGTGTTCTGCAGAAGTTGGTTCTCATCATCAGGGAGTTAAGCACACTGTGTCCAGCAGTCAGAGAAGTTGAAGAGGAGATCAAGGGTAGGTGGAGCAGTTGGAAGTTTAGTGCTGGCTCATGCCAAAGATGTAGCCAACAGGAAAGCAACACAGCAGCCATTAACAAACCTTCAAAGCCTACAAACAATATGACTGCTACTGTTTTCTTATCACCAAATCTTAAAGCCAACCTAACCAGAAACATGGGGGAGGAAATCTGGGAAATAAGTTTGATTCAAATGGACACTTTCAAACCTTCACAATCTATCCATTTTCATCTTGGTTTCCATTCAGCCTCTTTAAACTACAGTTAATTCCAAATAAGGACAATATCGAAGTCAAGTCCTTCCCTTTTCTGACACAGTTGTCTAACACACAAGGTAAAGGTGCCATTCCTTTACCCCCACTATATATACATATACATATATATCTTTTCATGTTTTTAATAACTATATATCTTTTGTGAATTTTCTGTTCAACACTGCTGCCCATTTTCATTGACTTGTGTTTTTACATTTTTTTTCTAAATAAAAATCTTTTGTCAGATGTATATAATGCAAATATTTGTCCCAGTTTGAAACTTTTGTATTCATTTTTAAAGCAACCATTTTCAAGTGTACAATTCATTGGTGTTAAATATTTTCACATTTAAGTATATTTTGAAGAGCACTAGTTTTTATATTTTATGAAGTCTAATTTATCCGTCTTTTAATTTTATGGTTAGTGCATTATGTGCATCTAAAATTACAGATGTGCAGCACCACTTCTGGCTACTTGCTCTGTTTCTCTTCTTTACTGACAAGTCTACTAGAATTTTATGAATATCATTAATACTTTTGAAGTGCTACCTTATAACTTTGGCTTTTTTCTCTATTAGTTGTTTTGTATTTCATTGACTTCTGTTTATTGTATCTTCTTATTTATTTGGGCTTGAAATTGTATTGAAGCTTAAATGTTTGTTTGAAAATCTTTGCATTTTTTAGAATTCACTAGTGCAGTCATTTGAACCTGAAGCTTTCTTTATAGAAGACATTTTAATTACAAAATTAATTTTCTTAGTAAAATTTTAAATTTTAAAATTTTAAATTTTCTTAGTAAAATTTTCTTACTTTTGCATTTTAGTTTATTCTTGATCAAGTTAGTAAGCTGCATTTCTCAGAGCATAGTTTTTTAAATTGCCAAATTTCATAAAAATCTTCAAAACAGCTTTTTATTATTACTTTTATAATATCGGTAGTATACATGGTGATTGACATTCTGTGATTCCTACCTTTTACTGGTGAGAAAGGAAGCTGAGTGCTATTTCAACTTGTTTCAGTTTAAGGCCACTTCAACTGGTAGCTCTGCAAGCAACACAAAAAGAGAAAGAGGTTAACAACCCCTAGCTGTTATTTATTCTCTCTCTTTCTCTGTCTCTCTCTCTCTCTGTGTCTCTCTCTCTCTCTCTCTCTCTCTCTCTCTCTCTCTCTCTCTTACACACACACACACACACACACACACACACACACACACACACACTCGCTCAGTTGGAACGGATAGTTGGATATAGACAATGACCATCCATCCTTGCCAACTGTTTAGAGCACCTTAGTGTTACCACTCCTTGTACTTTAATACTAAAGAATCAAAGTCATCATACTACAGCAATTAATGCATACTCAGGTTTATGACACTACAACACAACATCGCCAAACTATGGAACCAGCTTAGGTATCCATGAATGAATGACTAGGTACACAGTGGAATTTGGTTCAGCCATAAAGAAAAATAAAATTGCATCAGAAAATCAAGAGTTATATGCTTTCTCTCAAAGGACAAAGGAAAAGAAAGGTAAGAGAGATCTCAGATAACCAAAGGGAGATCAGCAATGGAAAAGGACCAGGGAGGTGGAGGAGGGGAAGAAAGAGGGAAATACTACTACAGGGGGAAAAATACAACCCAAATTATATTGTTATATTGTGTGTGGTTATGTAGAAAATCCCACCAACTATGACGCACCAATAAAAAATACAGAAAAAAAAAGATTTATTTTTTTTAAAAAAAGCTTCAAATCCACTTGGTGAGTGAGAAGTGCCCAGCTTCTCTCTAATTATGGGTGGAAAACTGTGGTGACTTGCCATTTTGTAGAAATCATGCCTCAGTCTGCAGTGCTGGAAGAAAATTTATCTTTATTTCATCCCATCTAGAGATACCAGAAAATAATATTGCAGGGAATGTCATTGATATGGCAATCTGATTAACCTGTGTAGTGGGATCCTGGTTAGCTGAAGGCTGTTGACCTTCCTCTTTCCTCATCATTGGCAATGGGAGAGGAGTGGAGCAGAACAAAGTGCAAGACACTGCCAGGGAGAGCAGCATGTGGAGAATAACCTAGCACAAAAGACAGCCATTTGCTGCAGCCACCTGGGCCCCAGTTGCCAGCTGAAGCTAGTAGTGGTCCACTGTCACAGACACTCCTACAGTAATCTGCCATCATGTGTGACCCAGAAGCCCACTGAATGTTCTGCAGCCAAGTCCAAGTGCCTCTGTCATGAGTCACCCAAGAGCATGGCTGCCCAGTGGCTGTACATCTGCCATAAGGTGCCATGTCTCTCACACCTCAAAATCCACATGGGCAAACTCACACCTGTTTTGGTATCTCTGGTCCTATGAAGCATTTCTATAGGTGGGTACACAAATCTGCAGTACTAAGCAGGGAGATACTTGACTGCTAAACCACAGACATTTAGAAGAAATTTCCTCTGATCCAAAAAAAAGGAAAGGAAAGAAAATTAATAACTCCTCAGGCCCTCACTCAAAAGAGTGAAGAGATCCTCCTATATTGAGCATAATGAGGTCCTGAAGGAAAAACTAAGTATATATCTCTCCAACTCAACAAGGACATCACTAGAAGGGTTCCATCTCTATGTTCAAAGAAACTTTGAAGACAAGCCATGGAGGCATGAGCATTTAATGACCAGATAATCTTACAGGATCCAAGTCTGGATGGCCCAAAAGGAGAGCTCTCCATCTCAACTCAGCAAGCAATAATTTAAGACTCTCTTAAATATCAACTCAAATGTTATTATCTCCTAGGTACATTTTGTAGGTCACTTGCTATTGCATGTGTTAATCCAATTTTATAAATTTCCTTTAATATTTATGTGCTAATTGGATTTATACTTTCTATCTTTTTCCTTATGTCTATTATAAAATCTTTTTTAGTTTCTTCCTCTCTTTATATTATCTGCTGTTTCTCCCACAACCATTTTGTCTTTTTACTTCCTTTTTTGCAAATTTATGCCCTATAGAGTTTATTCATTTTATTTTCTTTAATTCCTAATTTCTCAGCCTATTGTAGAGTATTACTCCCCACTTACACATTTGGATTATGGGAAATGTGAAGCACATTTTCAGTAAGTTTTAAAATGGTTTATGAGTGTATAGTTTTGCTCAAAAGTGTTCACAGTTACTAATGATTATTATCTCCTCTCAATGTGGTGTTAAGAACTGAACAGAACATTGTGATCACATTGAACAGGATTTTCGCCACTGAAGTCTACCCACACTAAGAGCACATTGTTAAAAGAAAAAAAGGTAATCGAAAAGACCCTCATAACAATGGAAGAGATGCCCATTCAGACCTATGAACAAATATCAACATATAAATACTGTAAACAAAGTGTCAGAGATACAGTAAAGGCAGTTCTAAGGGAAAAGTTATAGCAATGAGTGCACACATTAAAAAATTAGCAAGATACAAAATAAATATCCTAATGATGCATCTCAAGGTGTTAGGAAAACAAGAATTAACACGCCATTTCCAAAACTAGCAGAAGGAAAGAGATAATAAAGATCAGAGCTGAAATTAATGAAATGGGAAAAAAAGAAGAATACAACAGATCAATTAAGCAAAGTCAGTTTTCTGAAAAGATAAACAAATTGACAAACTCTTAGGTACATTAACCAAAAGAAAGAGTAAGAAAATCCAGGTTAATAAAAGTAGAATATAACCAATGTGATCCGGCAATCTGTACACTTGGAAAAATAAGAATTCATACCCATTTGAATCAAATGTATGATATGCCAAGATCATTGTAATGTTGTGAGCAATTAATAAAAAAATTTTTAAAAAGGATACCACTGAAATCCAGGGCATCACTGGGGGCTACTTTGAAAATATATATTTCAATAAATTCAAAAATCTAAAAGAGATGAACAAATTTCTAGAAATATAGACAGAATGAAATGGAACCAAGAGGATATAGAACACTTAAATAAACCAATAAAGTTTATGCAGGAAAAAACTTTGAATAAAGAAATTCCAGGACCAGATACACTCACAGCTAAATTTTACTGGACATTTAGAGAAGAAATAGTGTCCATGCTCCTCAAATTATTTCAGTAAATAGAAAGGGGGAGAAAACTTCCACACTCCTCATATGAACCCAGTATAATACTAATACCAAAATCAGGTAAATCCACTTCAAGGAAAGAAAACTCCAGAAAAATATCCTTCATGAACTTAGA